TGGGTTCGAGTCTTGGGTTTGGCCAATGTTGGTATGCGAGAAAGCTTGCCAGTAGTCGGCGGTTCTTACCGAGGATTTCCTGATTTGTCCTCCACAAGTTATACTGGCCGCCATGTATATGAAAAATGGCGTTAAACCCCAAATAACAACCAACTCGGTGGTTACAATAAAAGGATATATGCCATTGGCCTGTATAAATCCTTCACGAACTCTACTTTTTCTTAAATAAAGCTGCGCAAGCATTGAAAATGGGTGAGTTGTTTTGTTGAGACAGTCAAACTGACTGACGCTCTTTATGGCAAGTATATTTTTTATGTCGGGCGAGTGACTCCTCAATCTTAGCCTGTATTTGAGAAATAATTGATACTGAGCAATGCAACTTTCTTTGCAACGATGTAAAGTCAAATAAGAGCTTTAGATGGATCAAACCTACCCCTTAACATCAATGATGGATATCATTGTCGAGGTCATTTTCTGATTGCCAGGCTGACTATTGTGTTTTTGAACAATACTAGTCTTTGGAACATGTGCATTGTTCAATACTGGGGAGACCGACTAATACATACGAGAACGTTTAAAAGCCGTACAGTCCACAGTCCGTGGAGAACATATATGCAGTCCGTACTATTCACGTTCAGCGAAGTACAACAGTGATAAACCAGTGGTAGTGGAACGCTAGTAAATAAATTTGCTTGAAGTTGATTTTCGTTTCATAGGAACCATTCACTATGCACAGGACTTTGTTGAGTTGTTTGAGCTGTCTGACTATTGTACTAAATTTAGTACAGTAGCGGAACGATGGTTCAACCCTCTCCCCCGGAGGGTAATATTCGAGCTGCTATAAGTACGGGGTAAAAACATTTTGTTTCTGTCCTCTATTAAAAATATCTTTCTTGAATTTAACACATGTTGACATAAATCTAGCTTAATTGTGTCTACCAGCTTCCTCGTATCAGCAAATCATCTCGTTCAGCGTCACGTTCTGCTCGCTGTAAATGTAAGATTTTTGTTGCAGGAAGGACTCTTGTTAATAGGACAATTGCTGGAGGGGGGGGGGTCCAAAGCTATGAACTCCTCTGTGATTTAACAACTTGTGACAACTCATTCGACAAATGCCTAGTACAATGTTCAAATTAAAACTGTGGACATTATTCTCTGTATTATATGCTTTTTAAAATTATTGTAATTTAATTTTACAATATTATTAGTATGCCTTGAATTAAAGTTTTGTAAAAGAGTATGAAAGTATATTATTTTGTTCTATGTATGTTTATATGCTACTACATTATGTATGTATTTTAATACTGTATGCATGTATTGTAATACTGTATGTATACACGTTTGCATAATAATACCACATGAATGTTAATATTGCATGTAGTTGATTATGTATGTATGTTAATACTGTATGTATGTACTTGTGTTAGCATGTTAATACTGTATTTATGTACTTGTGTTTGTATGTCAATACTGTATGTATGTATGTTCTTGTGTTTGCATGTTAATACTGTATGTATGAACTTGTGTATGTTAATAATGAACGTAAATACTTGTGAGTGCCTGTTAAATGTGTACTTATATACTTTTGTGAATGTTACTACTGTACGCATGTACTTATGTTTGTATGTTAATATTGTACGTATGTACTTGTGTTTGCATTTTTTATACTGTATGCATGTTCTTGTGTTTGTATGTTAATACTGTATTATGTACTTGATATATGTGTTAATACTGTACATATGTACTTTTGCATGTATGCTAAAAATGCAAGTATGAACTTGTGTTTATTAATACTGTGCGTATGCATGCATGTGTCTATGTATGTTAATAATGTGTGTGTAGGCCTATATGTGCATGTGTCAATGTATGTATGATGATTTCTGATAATAATAACAACATATGCATTGTATTTTATGAATTCTATGTAAATGTGATGATTATATTGAGTTTCAAACAATGTTTGAATGTTTCTGTAAACGGTTTTAAAGATGTATATTATTTATCAGTATATGATAACGCCCCTGTGAATGATAACCTCTCTGTTTTATGTTTAATATGTCTGTTTTGCATCAGTGTACACTGACGGTCTGTATGCTTTATGTGTAATATGTGTGTTTTCCATCAGTATACGCTGACGTCTGTATGATTTATATATATATATATATATATATATATATATATATATATATATATATATATATATATATATATATATATATATATATATATATATATATGTGTGTGTGTGTGTGTGTTATGTATCGATGCATGGTAAGGTCTCAAATTCTCAATGTTTAATATATAATATGTATGTTATGTAACAGTTGATGGTAACGTGCGAATATTTTAAGTGTAATATGTTTATTATGAATCAATGTGTTGTAAGGTCGAAGTGTTTAATATATAATATGTATGTTATATATCAGTGCAAGGTATTGTCTCAATACTTTGCGTGTAATATGTATGTTATGTGTCAGTGCAATGTAACGTCTCAATGCTTTGCGTGTAATATGTATGTTATGTATCAGTGCATGGTAACGTCTCAATACTTTGCGTGTAATATGTATGTTATGTATCAGTGCATGGTAACGTCTCAATACTTTGCGTGTAATATGTTATGTATCAGTGCATGGTAACGTCTCAATACTTTGCGTGTAATATGTATGTTATGTATCAGTGCATGGTAACGTCTCAATACTTTGCGTGTAATATGTTATGTATCAGTGCATGGTAACGTCTCAATACTTTGCGTGTAATATGTATGTTATGTATCAGTGCATGGTAACGTCTCAATGCTTTGCATGTAATATGTATGTTATGTATCAGTGCATGGTAACGTCTCAATGCTTTGCATGTAATATGTATGTTATGTATCAGTGCATGGTAACGTCTCAATACTTTGCGTGTAATATGTATGTTATGTATCAGTGCATGGTAACGTCACAATGCTTTGCGTGTAATATGTATGTTATGTATCAGTGCATGGTAACCTCTCAATACTTTGCGTGTGATATGTATGTTATGTATCAGTGCATGGTAACGTCTCAATGCTTTGCGTGTAATATGTATGTTACGTATCAGTGCATGGTAACTTCTCATAGCTTTATGAATGATGTGTTAAAATCTTCATATTACTCGGGTGGTTCTATCTACATGTCTACAATACTCCAGTGGTTCATCTCTATGCCCACATTGATTTTGTTGGTTCTATGTACATGTCTACAATACTCCAGTGGTTCATCTCTATGTCCACATTGATTTTGGTGGTTCTATGTACATGTCTACAATACTCCAGTGGTTCCATCTCTGTGTCCACATTGATTTGGTGGTTCTATCTACATGTCTACAATACTCCAGTGGTTCTATCTCTATGTCCACATTGATTTGGTGGTTCTATCTACATGTCTAGAATACTCCAGTGGTTCCATCTCTATGTCCACATTGGTTTGGTGGTTCTATTTACATGTCTACAATACTCCAGTGGTTCTATCTCTATGTCCACATTGATTTGGTGGTTCTATCTACATGTCTACAATACTCCAGTGGTCCCATCTTTATGTCCACATTGATTTGGTACTTCTATCTACATGTCTTGAATACTCCAGTGGTCCCATCTCTATGTCCACATTGATTTGGTACTTCTATCTACATGTCTACAATACTCCAGTGGTTCTATCTCTATGTCCACATTGATTTGGTGGTTCCATCTGTATGCCTACAATACTCCAGTGTATCTGCTTTAAGTTGATTTTTGTGGCCGCAATAGCTCTTCAGAGCTGATATTATTTGTAGCAAATAAAACTTCGTTATTATTAGACTCTTACCCGAGCACTGCAATAGATCACAAGGTCAGTAACTTGAATATATGACTCACCAAGCTTGGTACCAAAAGCTACAATTACTAGCATCTGGGTAATGCAAAATTATTTACGGACTTATTGTGACTCAATGGTCAGTAGCTCACCCCTGTAAAAATGCAGTCAGCTGATGATACAAACAGTGAAAACTAGACCAAGCCGGTGCAAGCTGTTGATTATTTCTAAGGACATCCTCTCTCTGCTGTTTTTATGTGTTATATGAGAGAGAGAGAGAGAGAGAGAGAGAGAGAGAGAGAGAGAGAGAGAGAGAGAGAGAGAGAGAGAGAGAGAGAGAGAGAGAGAGAGAGAGACTTTCCCTGCTGGTCTCAAGCCCGGATTGAGGTGTGTTGGATATGGGGATAGAAACCATATACTGAATAACTCCCCTTAGTACAAACACGATAAACATGACACAGCTGCCTTGGTACAAAATAAAAACGCTAGTTCTAATAACAGTTTGGAAAGCGGAGGAGTATCTAATCTGGTTTTGCGTAATTCTTCTGTCTACAGAGTGAAATTATTATAGGCCTACGTAAATAAACCACTACCCACACAGCATTATGCATGCGTTGATGCGTACATTAATTAAATCAATAAAATATTGGGAGTATAAGTGTTTGACACAGTAACCTAATTAACAGTAAGAGAGATGGGATTACTAACACATATGCGCATTCCGGTTGCCTTATATCGATCAGATCCTTAAAACCTCGTAGCAAAATACAAAAACACAGCAAAATGTGCAGTTCCAAAAATCGAACACGTCATCGATTTTCATGCGCAGATCAGCATTGTCTATCGCGTCTGTATTGACCGAATATGTCTCTCAAGCATTATTTCGAGTGTAATTTAAGAACTATCAAACCTAATCTCATTATGTATTCATATATATGTAAGCCCACCCAAAAGATGTTTGTAGGCTATTATTTTTGGATATTTCATCGGCATGTTCATGTTATAGATACGATGTCTGCACTGTGGCAGTTTATAGTGATGTCTAGTACTGAGGCATCATGCCTCAAGCATGTAGCGTGATGTCCCACCCAGTCACATTATCCTGATACCAGGCCGACCAGTCCTAACACTAACCTCTTAATGCTGAGCGTTAAGCCAGGCAGCTGTTATTACCATTTTTGTAAGTCTTTGAACTCGGCCTGGGATCAAACCCACGACCTCCCACATCTGAGGAGGACGCTCTAACCACTAGGCCACTGGCACGGTTCGAATCATTTATATTCACGCTAAATACTACTACTACTACTACTACTAATAATAATAATAATAATAATAATAATAATAATAATAAAAGTGGACTGGTTAGCACCAACTATTGATTCGTGTACAATGTGCACACACAAAAACATGGACATTTGTTTGCGCGACAATAAAATAAACAGGTTAATTAGTGCAAGACGTTTTGATACGAGACATTTAACATATCTTGAAAAGTGGTAACCAGGAAGGCGTTTCAAACCGAGTCCCAATAATCGTTTTGAAGTATTACGTTCACAATGAAATCAATTAAGATGTGCAATAAAATACACCGCACAATCAATAAAGTAACTATTTCCGACTTAAATAGATTCTAAGTGAAGGCAGACTATTTCTTAATGTCCTTTGATGCTATAATTTTATTTGGTATGTTTTCGTAAGTATGTACACGCATCCAGAAAAAAATGTCGACAAGATAGATGCATACCAAGTGCGGGTATTGACTCTAGGTTTGTCGTTTATACATGCATTAATAAGATTCTCTTAAGGTACGAAATGGTTAGTCACCCTTGTGTGTTTGGGCGATGCCTTTCTAAAATGTGCTCTATTCCCCGCCCACGCTTATTTGCATACGAAAATGATTCCGAGGAGTTAAACAGTACATATTGTTTTGTTGTTTTTTTTTTTTCACTCTAAGTTACTTTGTTCTTTTGCGCCTTGTGGGAACATTTCCCACGTGTCGACCTAAATAACAACGTGTTACACTACTCGCAATGGAGCTAATTAATAACCTGCCCCTAGCTACTGGTAATTAGATAAACAGATGCTAAACGCGACATGTCGGACAAGTCGATGTCACCAAAAACAAACAGGAATACAAACAACAGAATATTGTATTTGAGTTTGTAGATACAAACAACAACAACAACAACTACTACTAATACTATAAGCTAAATTTAGTGATGGTTGTACATGCAGCACACTATTAATTGAAATAATCGCTAATTGGAGAGAAATATTGATGTGACGTAAATGTTGTGGCCACCGAGTTATAGGCCATAACGGGATGAATTGGTTGCCGAGTAGAGAGGCGGACGGGTGAGGGGTCTGGTTATTTGGGTTTAACGCCATTTTACAACAAACGATAGGGTACACCTGGTGATCGACCAGCATATTCGAGTTTACCGTGGCAGCAAATGGCAACCGGTTATGACATGTTCCATAGCGTCAAGACATGTACATAACAAAATAATATGTGTGCAGTATATAAAATTGAAAGAACTTAATTCAATACAATTCAGTAAAACTGTATTAAAATAAGTGTATGACTTATATTTAAAACGACATAATCATGCAGTTAATTCAAATTAAAGATGTAATTAGGTAATGATTATTTCTTTCAAAGGGGATAAATTAATTTTAATAAGTACAACTGCTTTTACTCAACAATGAAACCGAAAATCACATTTTTCTTGTCCAAGTTGAAACTTTATTTTTATTCAATATAGGTCGATTTAAGTGCTTTGTAAGGATCTCATGTAGGAGTTCTTCGGTTTTTGTTCTTTTTCCTATTTTTTTTTTATTGTGATTTTGATACTTCAAAATTTTGTGTCTTGTTGATGAAGATCTGCTGGGTCGCATGGTAAAGAATTAATAAATTCATCCGAATTTGTGATGACTTGGGCACCAATTTGAAAGTACCATTATTATTCTACGAGTGTGGGACAAAAATGACAGAATAGTTGTGATCTGTGAATTATGTACAGTCAAATACAGTAATTATATAATGGTTTAATGTTACAGCTCGTATTGCCTTTCTTTTATTAATATCCTCTTTGTACTGGTTAAATACCAATACTCGCCCAATGTACATAAACACTTGTAGGTATATCTCAGATAATACACACTCGGCCCACTTTCAGACCATAAGTTGTCTAGCCAGTGAATAGTCGATACCTACGGTAGAGTAAGTCGATGGGGCTATTCAAGTACACTTACACGCTAGTACAAAGTCCTTATACGGCAACGATTGACCTATATTTTATTCATTGATTCTGGAATGTCGCTGACGTAATCGGAATCAGCCAATAGCATGTGTATAAACTTTTTAGGTTGGCAAGCGTAAAGCTGACGCTGTAAATAACCTGTTTGTTTGAAGGTGCGGTGCGCAGTGCGTCAGATGTTGAGGAATGACAACATCAGCCGCAGTTAATGGCGTAAACGAGTGAACTTGACATTGGGTTGTGTCGTGCTCTTCAAGTGTGTTGATCTCCTGGTAGCGACGAAACTGGGCACCAGGAAGAGGTTCGCCTTCCAGTAATAATTGTTTTATAGTTGTACGTTGATAACATCTTTATAGCCAGATAATTTCGATATATTTGCGATTCTGATCTCCACGCTGACAAAAATAAAAGCAAGTTTAAAATATTGAAATTTTTACATGACTCAATAAATATAGGATAGAGAGAGAGAGAGAGAGCATAATGATTTTTATTTGTGTTTTTACATTATTATTATTATTATTATTATTATTATTATTATTATTATTATTATTATTATTATTATTATTATTATAGCCAATTACAAAAACTGAAGACCACATAGCAGATGGGTCAGTCATGACCAAATATGTTATCCTTGTTAAAATAAGTTTTATTATTACATTATTATTATTACATTATTATTATTATTATTATTATTATTATTATTATTATTATTATTATTATTATTATTATTATTATTGTTGAAGTAAAATGTGTGTCTATCAACTTCTTGCAGAAGTGCATACCTGACTAGCACAGTATGTGTGTGTGGTACAGCGAAAGCAAATTAATAATGACGTCACTCTACTGTACACCTTCTTTATCTACATGAGCAAACCAAGAAATTTGATATTTCATAGAACATTCATAAGGCTTGTTTATCATGCAATTGGAAATGATAAAAACAGTGAATGATAAACTTCCTACACGACGAATGTTACACATGACAAGCATAATGTAACACTGGATGACCACAGATCACATGACACGTGAAACAATGTAACATTAGGTGACAACAGATCACATGTCAATTTAGCACTGGGTGACCATAGATCACATGACACATAGAATAATGTAACACTAGGTGACTACGTGTGCATGCTTCCACAAAATGTGTGTTTACTGTCCACCGCGTTTATGGATTTGTTGCGAAATGGTAAATTTTTATGATTATTTCCTCAGTTACGAAATTTAATTTTAGCTTCGTGATCCTTACTCTACAATCGGTTTCATGTAATCTGAAAATGTTAAAACTTGCTGATAGACCGGTACCCCATCATGACTGTAGACTATGGTATACAGCACATAACTGTAGAGGGTGATATACAGCACATAACTGTAGAAGATGATATACAGCACATAACTGTAGAGGATGATATATACAGCACATAACTGTAGAGGATGATATACAGCACATAACTGTAGAGGATGATATACAGCACATAACTGTAGGGGACGATATATACAGCACATAACTGTATAGGATGAAATACAGCACATAACTAGAAGATGATATACAGCACATAACTGTAGAGGATGATATAGAGCACATAACTGTAGAGGATTATATATATATATATATATATATATATATATATATATATATATATATATATATATATATATATATATATATATATATATATATATATATATATATATATATATATAGCACACAACTGTAGAGGATGATATACAGCACATAACTATAGAAGATGATATACAGCACATAACTGTAGATGATGATATACATCACATAACTGTAGAGGATGATATATATAGCACATAACTGTAGAGGATGATATATATAGCACATAACTGTAGAAGATGATATACAGCACATAACTGTAAAGGATGATATACAGCACATAACTGTAGAGGATGATATATAAAGCACATAACTGTAGAGGATGATATACAGCACATAACTGTAGAGGATGATATATACAGCACATAACTGTAGAAGATGATATACAGCACATAACTGTAAAGGATGATATACAGCACATAACTGTAGAGGATGATATATATAGCACATAACTGTAGAGGATGATATACAGCACATAACTGTAGAGGATGATATATACAGCACATAAATAGAGGATGATATATACAGCATATAACTGTAGAAGACGATATACAGCACATAACTGTAGAGGATGATATATATAGCACATAACTATAGAGGATGATATATACAGCAAATAACTAGAGGATGATATACAGCACGTAACTGTAGAGGATGATATATATAGCACATAACTGTAGAGGATGATATATACAGCACATAACTATATAAGATGAAATACAGCACATAACTAGAGGATGATATACAGCACATAACTGTAGAGGATGATATACAGCACATAACTGTAAAGGATGATATATATAGCAAATAACTGTAGAGGATGATATACAGCACATAACTGTAGAGGATGATATATACAGCACATAACTGTATAAGATGAAATACAGCACATAACTAGAGGATGATATACAGCACATAACTGTAGAGGATGATATACATCACATAACTGTAGAAGATGATATACAGCACATAACTGTAGAAAATGATATACAGCTTATAACTGTAGAGGATGATATACAGCACATAACTGTAGAGGATGATATATATATAGCACATAACTGTAGAGGATGATATATAGCACATAATTGTAGAGGATGATATACAGCACGTAACTGTAGAGGATGATATACAGCACATAACTGTAGAGGATGATATATATAGCACATGACCGTAGAGGATGATATACAGCACATAACTGTAGAGGATGATATATACAGCATATAACTAGAGGATGATATACAGCACATAACTAGAAGATGATATACAGCACATAACTGTAGAGGATGATATACAGCACATAACTGTAGAGGATGATATATATAGCACATAACCATAGAGCATCCTATACAGCACATAACTGTAGAGGATGATATATACATCATATAACTAGAGGATGATATACAGCACGTAACTGTAGAGGATGATATGTATAGCACATAACTGTAGAGGATGATATATACAGCACATAACTGTATAACATGAAATACAGCATATAACTAGAGGATGATATACAGCACATAACTGTAGAGGATGATATATATATAGCAAATAACTGTAGAGGATGATATACAGCACATACCTGTAGAGGATGATATGTACAGCACATAACTGTATAAGATGAAATACAGCACATAACTAGAGGATGATATACAGCACATAACTGTAGAGGATGATATACATCACATAACTGTAGAAGATTATATACAGCACATAACTGTAGAAAATGATATACAGCACATAACTAGAGGATGATATACAGCACATAACTAGAGGATGATATACAGCATATAACTGTAGAAGATGATATACAGCACATAACTGAAGAAATGATATACAGCACATAACTAGAGGATGATATACAGCACATAACTAGAAGATGATATACAGCACATAACTGTAGAGGATGATATACAGCACATAACTGTAGAGGATGATATATATAGCACATAACTGTAGAGGATGATATACAGCACATAACTAGAAGATAATATACAGCACATAACTGTAGAGGATGATATACAGCACATAACTGTAGAGGATGATATATATAGCACATAACTGTAGAGGATGATATACAGCACATAACTGTAGAGGATGATATATACAGCACATAACTGTATAAGATGAAATACAGCACATAACTTGAGGATGATATACAGCACATAACTGTAGAGGATGATATATACAGCACATAACTGTAGAAGATGATATACAGTACATAGCTGTAAAGGATGATATACAACACATAACTGTAGAGGATGATATACAGCACATAACTGTAGAGGATGATATATATAGCACATAGCTGTAGCGGATGATATACAGCACATAACTGTAGAGGATGATATATACAGCACATAACTAGAGAATGATATATACAGCACATAACTGTAGAGGATGATATACAGCACATAACTGTAGAGGATGATATATATAGCACATAACCGTAGAGGATGATATACAGCACATAACCGTAGAGGATGATATACAGCAAATAACTAGAGGATGATATACAGCACGTAACTGTAGAGGATGATATATATAGCACTTAACTGTAGAGGATGATATATACAGCACATAACTGTATAAGATGAAATACAGCACATAACTAGAGGATGATATACAGCACATAACTGTAGAGGATGATATACATCACATAACTGTAGAGGATGATATATGTAGCAAATAACTGTAGAGGATGATATACAGCACATAACTGTAGAGGATGATATATACAGCACATAACTGTATAAGATGAAATACAGCACATAACTAGAGGATGATATACAGCACATAACTGTAGAGGATGATATACATCACATAACTGTAGAGGATTATATACAGCACATAACTGTAGAAGATGATATAGAGCACATAACTGTAGAGGATGATATACAGCACATAACTAGAGGATAATATACAGCACATAACTGTGGAAGATGATATACAGCACATTACTGTTGAGGATGATATACAGCATATAACTGTAGAGGATGATTCATTGGCATCTCAGTCATGGGAGACCATGCGAGTCGCGCCATTGGAGTGTCGTCTATCTCTGGGGTTTTGGCATCGTCTGTTGTAGCTGTGCAGACCGATGCGCGAGTGACAGTCCCTACTGAAGTTGGTGCAGACGTACTGGGAAATCTGCGTTGTTTGTGTTGCTGCTGAACACTTCTTTCTCTTGCGCTTCTCTGCGGCCTTTCCTCACATCAGCGAGTGTTATACCTTTGCTGACTTTCAGTTTCCGAATACCTCGGTCCTTATCCTGCACTTCTCAGCTGTCCGGTAAAATTCCGCATTCCTTCATGTCCCTCTTGCACACATCCTTGAAGAGGAGTGAGGGGCGGCCGACTCTTCTGGTGCCAGTAGCCAGCTGTCCATATAGGATGTCCTTTGGCAGCCTCCAATCCTCCACGCGTCGGACGTATCCCTGCCATCGAAGACGGCGTTTGCTCAGCAGAGAATACATGCTATGGATACTTGCACGCTAGAGGATCTCTCTGTGTGGGACGTGGTCTTGCCAGCTGATTTTCAGGATGCGTTTCAGGCACCGTATATAGAAGTTGAGTCGATGCTCTTGCCTAATGTAGATGATCCAGGTCTATCTTCCATATAGGATATGCCTAGAAGACAGGTCTGGTAGACTTCAGGCCTGGTAGACTTGAGGTCTTGGTGTGCACTTTCAGCGCGCTGTGTTCCCACACCCTCTTCGTTAGTCTGACCATGATGGTGTTTGCCTTTCCAAGCCTAATCTCCAGATCCACATCAAGCGAAAGAGTGTTGCTGATGGTTGATCCCAGGTAAGTTAAAGTTGTTGAATACTTCCAGGGTGACACCGTCGATTTTGATGGATGGAATAATGGTGACATCTTGCACACTAATATTTGTCTCTTTCAGGCTAATGGTGAGCCTGAACTGTTTGCAGTCTCTGGAGGGCATCTTCGGTGTGGGTCACAAGAGCCACGTCATCAGCAAATAGTATCTCCCTGATAAGCACTGTAAAAGAAGATCCCAAAAAGGGTTGGCACCAACACGCAGCCCTGCTTCATGCAGCTGTTAATAGGGAAGGAGACTGAGTAAGATCCCCATACAGGACTGTACCATTCATATCGGCATGGAAGGAGATTATCATGCTGAGGATTGGGTGGGGGGCAGCTGATCTTCCCAAGAATTTTAAAGAGGCCATTCTTGCTGACCAGGTCCAAGGCATTGGTGATGTCGATAGAGTGGTAGACCTTGCTCTCTGCTCTTCTGTTGGAGTTTTCGGAGGGAGAAGATCATGTCTGTTGTCGACCGGCCTGCTCTGACGACGCACTGGGGTCCCGGGTACACGCGGTCCGCCAGTAGATGAAGCCTGTTGAGGACGATGCGGACATACAGTTTACCAACGATGCACAGGAGAGAGATTCCTCTGTAATTGTTACAGTCACTGTTGCCGCCTTTGTTTTTATAGAGGGTCACAATGGTGGCATCGCGCATATCTTGGTGGACTGCTCATTCCTCCCATCAGAGGCAGAGTAGCTTATGCAGCTGCTGTAGCAATGTCGGTTTTCCACGTTTGATGGCTTCAGGCGGTATGCTATCGCTACTTGGTGCTTTGTCGTTTGGGAGGGAGTCGATGGCTTTGCTGAGCTCCTCTAAGGTGGGCACTTTGTCAAGTTCCTCCATAGTGGGCAGCTCCTATATGTTGCTGAGGGACACATCGGTGACTGATGTTTCTTGGAAGTACAGCGCTGAATATTACCTTAACGTTATTTTCGTATTCATATCATTTAGAATTGATTACAATATAAAATTTGGGTTGTGATTATTTGAAGTCATGTGGTAAAAATAATGCATGGTATCCTGACCAAGATAAACATGGACCATGTTGTAAAGCTGAGGTTACCCACACACCAGTAACAATAGTGACCACTGTGGTTTGAATACATTATCACTGTGGTGTAACGACATCTATGCATTTACTCGCCTGCCCATGTATATGGGTTGTTTCAAAATAGTTTTGGACTTTGCCAATTTACAATGATGTTTTATAAATTAACAATTAACACCTTGTTTGTTAGAATGGCAATTTCTCAAATAAGTTTATCAATTAGCTAATAAGACAATGTGATATATAATGTAATAATGGCAGTAAGAAGTGATTCAAATGTATATTAATTATATGGTCAGTTACAATGCCTGGTGCAATGACCAAAGGTGTGGATATAAACAGAATTCAAATGAATGCGAAAATAAAAAATACCGGTACATGTCAACAAAACAGTAAGGTCATTGTCCGACCGTATACGCCCGACACCTAGTGGTTAGGGCTAGTGAAATAATTTATCACGCATACGATTTAAAACAAACCAAAAGCAAAACAAAAAAAAAAATACAAAGGATAGATAAATTAAAATTAATTTATTAATGGGTAGTCAAAACTTCTTATTATCTATTTATTAATTTAAAATACACGATACGCAGGGACTTCAGTAATTAGCATGCTAGACACGAGAGTTGGTTTGAATTTCTACATGAGACCAGCTTGGGTCAGCTGTTGTGAGTGTCCTTGGGGAAGGCGCTTTGCTCCAATTGCCTGGGTACTAATTATCCTACTTGTGCTGTTGTGCCGTAAACGACTAAAAGAAACCAAACACGATGCGCCGACAAATCTGTCTTTATGGTGATTGCAATTTGATCTGGTATATGATATTCATCTAGCAAGTCTAATTCGAATTAGTGACAACTGTTCAACCCACTTTTCTCTCTCTCTCTCTCTCTCTCTCTCTCTCTCTCTCTCTCTCTCTCTCTCTCTCTCTCTCTCTCTCTCTCTCTCTCTCTCTCTCTCTGATTTAGCTCATCAGTGGTTAAAGCATTGGACCCATATCTCTCTCTCTCTCTCTCTCTCTCTCTCTCTCTCTCTCTCTCTCTCTCTCTCTCTCTCTCTCTCTCTCTCTCTCTCTCTCTCTGATTTGGCTCATCAGTGGTTAAAGCATTGGACCCATAATCAAAGGTGTGCGGGTTCTATTCCCGCAAGCAAGAGGATCAGTCCTGAACCGCTACAATGTACTTTTCTTACCCAAGTTTGGCAGAACCTTCAATGTGTTATCGTATCGTAAAATATTGTAACAATTTTGGTCTACACAGGTATTTCAGCTACTTTTTAACAACAAAAAAAACAGACAAAACAGATCGACATTACTATCTCTTACACACTTTTGTACAAGACAAGTGATTAAATTTCATTGGTTTGGTCTTTTACGGCACAGCAACCCATCAAGGTTGTCAAGGCGATTGGCACATCAACCCATCAAGGTTGTTTAGTGTCAAGGCGATTGGTGTAAAGTAAAGTGCATTGTCGTTAAAGGTCTTTGACATCCTAGATGCATATAGTTTAATCACATTTATGTATCTTATAGGCATTGATTAAGTCAGCTCTTAGTTTATTTTTAGTGTCTTTTTTGTTGTTGTTTGTTTGCTTGTTTTCTTAAGATTATAATGTCTTCCTTCTTCGTTGGTGTGACCCCAGTGCATGCATTTTCTTTCGGCTCATTTATACTAATGAATTCATCAAATTATCACTATTTGAAAATCGAAAGCTACACGCTCGCCCATGATAAGCAGCATACTTATTAAATCAATGTGCAAGCTCAGTTTGCATTTTTTCATCTCGAATATAATTAGTGATATGTATGTCAGCGAGTGTAGCATCTTTTTATACCGTATGTACTAGCTTATAAGACGAGTGCAACTACAAAAAGCACAGACCCAGATCTGCCGTTGCGTAATGCACCGGCAGCTCTAGACCTATGCATTTTTGTTGTAGGAGTAATGAGTGGAACAAACAACATATACCCTGATCTGCAGGCACATTATGCTTCGGCAAATCAGGATCTGTATTGTTTTGCAGTTTGCCCAGACTTTTAAGCGAGTACAGAATGTACTGGTTTGGATGGGTATTTATAACCGATTTAGACCAGGCAAGGAATAACAACATTGTCTTCGGAATTTGTTGTGCATATCGCACGCAGTGCTGTTGACCTGTACGGTCAATAACCCGCCGACCGCGTCATAATAGTGCGTTGACCGTTTATGCATCAAACCCTGCCATTTGCAGTTCAACGACCTTCATCACGGAACAAATTTAGCAGCCATATTTTTTTCTTCAGATTTTAAGCTAGTGATGGTTTTTAATGATATTCTTGTTCTCTTACATTTGTAGGCCGAATGTAAACAAAAATATATATTTAAGAAAATTATACAAGAATAAAACGGGAATATGTTCATATTATCCTTTTTGTTAGCATTAACTGGTATTCGACCCGTATTTTAAGTTAGCAGACACTCGAAAATAGTAGTAGATCTGAGAGACCTGAAATTTAACTGGTACCCGGCCTGAATTGGGAAGCCAGTATTATAGGCCGGTAAGTACTTGCATATGGGTCTCCTGATAAGACGAGTGAGCAGCAAGAAGCGTGCGAAGCTATGTATGTACATATGTTTCAGCATTTAACAAAATCTCAAAAATGGGGTGGCTTTATGGTGCCAACAAAAGGTGAATTTTGACAAATGTAGAAATGCAGATAACCAGAGAAGTGTACTTGGGACATCATGGACAAAAAAAGTAAACACGACAGGACGCGAATGAAATAATGAATCAAGAATTTTTACAGTGTTTACGTAAAAGACTTTGGGATTTGTTTTTACTTTGATGGTAGAATACATAATCTTTAAACTTAGCATAATCTGTTTAGCAACAAACATAGGCCAATTTAACTAATGCAACCATCATTTGCTTGTCATTGGTTGTCACAAATGTACACATCGCATTTCATGACCAAACACGGAAGTGTCTTTTACTTAGGAAGCTGAATTACGAGTAAATACAAAAAAAATTGTTTTTATATCCACTGGGACATGAAATAGATGTACATCTACCTACATGTCATGTCCTGCCTCATCTTCGCTCGCGGCACTTCGTTCCTCGTTTACATCGATGTGGAAAACCTCGATGCCCCTTGACTTGAGATGTTTCGGCATATTATGATTTTAAAGGTGTACAAACTCAGCGAGTTTAACCAATGTATATACAAAAATGTTTGTGTTCACGTGACCTTAAAAAATTAGGTAACTGACCTACTTTTACTGACTCGACTGGATTGATTATCCTAATGGTCACTTAGAAGTTCGCACATACGTCACAATGTAATAAAATGTATCTACTATCTGCGCACTAAAGTCAAAGAAGTTATGATCGCTAGATATATCTAAGCACAAAATATTCGTAAACCCCCACTTTTCTTACGAGCCGCCCCTAATTTTAGTTGCTATCATAATAAATGAAATTTCCTTACGTTAGTTTTGAGTCTATTATTTCCGTACGTTAGTTTTGAGTCTATTGAGTGACCGATGCGCAGATACGATCAAACTTAAGAAGGATACCCGAGGAGCAGATAAGATAAAAAAAATTTGAAGCAAATTATTATTTTCTTTAGAGTTCAAGCATTTTGTATTAAAACGTGTTTTTCTCTATTCATGCTGATTCAGCCTTCCAGTAACAGCAGTGCATGTACCCGAAGCAGAAAGAGGATTTGACATCATCAATATATATATATATATATATATATATATATATATATATATATATATATATATATATATATATATATATATATATATATATATATAGATAGATAGATAGATAGATAGATAGATAGATAGATAGATAGATAGATAGATAGATGTAATAAACTGACGACGAACAGTACGAAACTAGTAACTAACTAGAAAAAGACTTATTAAGAGTCGAAAGTGCTTAGGCTAGTTAGTTACTAGTTTCGTACTGTTCGTCGTCAGTTTATTGCATCTATTTTAATTATTCCCTGACACACGTGATCCCTCGGTGGATCCAGTACGCTTGAAAGGGTTGTTATATTCGCCATATGATTTGTATTCTTTATATATATATATATATATATATATATATATATATATATATATATATATATATATATATATATATATATATATATATATATATATATATATATATATATATATATATATTCTCCCATTACAGATACATACAGTCTAATATCGTCGGGGACACTGTCTTTTTTTCTGTTTACATGGCATGTACCGGATACAACCATTCTGATATGGTATCTTTTTTTGTATGAAGTTTAGAATGACAGTTCAACAAGGAAGCACTATATTTATTCAAGAAATACAACCAGCCCTTAAGTACCCATATGTAGCAAAACAAATCTAGTAAAAGGACGCTCCTCTAATGAAAGTTTAAACAGACAGATCAGCAATGTGTATATGTTATCTAACACGAGTGGAGCAAGTGTAAAAAATAGTCAATAAAATTCCTAATTACTGAGCTAACGCTTTTCTATGAAGTTAAAATCACTCGCTCATTCCTCATCGTGCAACCAGGTGATCTCAGGCTATATATGTGATGGTATTGCATGGTATTCCACACGTGTACATGGTATTCCATCGTAGTCCACACGTGTACATGGTATTCCATATGTGTACATGGTATTCCATCGTATTCCATATGTGTACATGGTATTCCACATGTGTACATGGTATTCCATGGTATTCCACATGTGTACATGGTATTTCATATATGTGCATGGTATTCCATGGTATTCCACATGTGGTCGCATTCTTCATCTCTTAGTGCTATAATCTTCATTGCTATGTATAGTATTAAAGTACTTAGACCACTGACTAATTAAAAGCACGTTGCCATAGAATCAAATGAAACGTGGTCAGATCATGTCAAGTGTTAGGGTATGGGTCCAAAATTTCCAAAAGGCACTAACTTTCCTCGAAAGGTCATGAAAGCAAAAGTCTATGTGTCTATTTACACAAAGTGAACGTACTACCCAGTAAACGTGTGAAAGCATAAAACGATGGTCTAATTTCAAGTGATTAAGTGTGTGAGAGTGTGTATGTCTGTTTGTGTGTGTGTACTTTTCAAACCTGGGCATTGAGTCCAGAAACCTCGTATCCCGATCCCACCCACCAAAATCCGGTCCTGTAAACACTAATATATCGCAACTTCACATTTGGCCCCAATTTTATATTCCAGCGACTCATTTGATTGACCCATTGCATTACGTTCATAATTCCTTGTCTCGTTTCCCATGCTAGTACCGGACATAAGTGCGATGTTAACATGAATAATATTTACAAAAATATCGTGCGTATGGTAAAGACTACTGGTTTTAGACTCTGTATTATTATATATGGCATCACTGATGCATACATAATAGGAAACAGTGCATGTAACAAGAAATTGTGGTTCCCTATCCAGCCTTTGCTCTTTTGATTGTATTCACGTTTACATTTGTCAATAACCTAGGTTACATTTTAATCTGGAGAGATTGTCTATTCCGATGAGTTCTTTACGGTTTTAAGAGAAAGATGGCAGATATTGATATCTTACAGGTGCTGCTACTTTTCACATGAAGAGTCGCTGGCTTAAATACAATTATTTTATTTTTCACTCATTATCATACAGTGTATATCATTTGTAGCCAATCCTCCATTTTTATACAATTGTTTCCGGGCTTTTACAAATTGGCGTTTGCTGATTAGCTGAAATCAATTGAAAAAAAATCGTGCAGTGACTATGATTAAATGTCCGTCAATCAGCTGTTGTCATGTCTTTGTGTGCTCTAATAATCGTTTAAGCGCGCACTGTACGAAAATAATTGAAAATCTGCGGAAGCACTCACAATGTCTTGTTTTATCAAAGTTGTCTTTTAGGTGGTTTCTCTAGCAACATTTAAAAATTTTTACAAATTACCTAAAGTTAGTAATTGCATCAAATCCTCCGTTTTGAACCAATGTCGATCAAGTTTTCCTCGAAGCATTTCTTCTCAAATATTCTTCCATAGTTTTGTTTTCTTGGTGACTTTCCAAACTTTCTTTAATTGCCGTATAAACTGGGTGGGAAATGTATTTTGTTTTTGTACACTAAGTCACCGCGATAATATTGATCACACTTAATGTATATTTTTCCAACGTTTGTTGCTTTCATTGTTTGTTTCTTTGTTTGTTTGTTAGCTTGTTGTTGTTTTTGTTTGTTGACCTCCATACCAAACCGCATATGTTTGGTTGTACTATATGTATTTTTTATGTAAAGTTGGTTTGGAAGTTTTCTTTTACCACGCACTTCCAATGTACTACCAAGGTCAAGCTTTTGGAGGACTCCGTAGTAATCGTGTTGGCTTCCAAAGCAACTAGTGAAAACCGTTTTCCGATCTTGAATTAGCTGGTCAATTGCAATTGTATTTTGCTTTTAGAATAATGTACGGAAGATGTGAGAGCTACAACAGATCAGACAGACCGCACCGGTGGCCTAGTGGTTAGAGCGTCCATCTCGGATGCAGGATGTTGTGGGTTCAATCCCAGGCCGAGTCATACCAAAGACTTACAAAAATGCTACTAGCAGCTGCCTAGCTTGGAGCTCAGCAATAAGAGTTTAGTGTTAGGACTAGTCGGCTTGGTGTCAGGATAATGTGACTGGGTGAGACGTCATGCTACATGTTTGCGGTATGATGACCCGGTGCTAGACATCACTATAAATTACTACACTGCAGACATTCATGTGATATGAATGAAAAATTGTTAAAGCTTCTTAAAAATCATAATCACATCACACCACACCACATCACATCACATCACATCACATCACATCACATCACATCACATCACATCACATCACATCACATCACATCACATCACATCACATCGCATCGCATCGCATCGCATCGCATCACATCACATCACATCACATCACATCACATCACATCACATCACATCACATCACATCACATACTAGGTCTTTTCTATATAACAGAACAATTAAGTGACGATGATCACCGTAAAAAATTCTCTGCCATGTTTGGCAGGTACTCTTAATACAGATTTCAGCATGGATTCCCTCAAAATTTCATCTATGAACATAGTGTACTTTAAGAGAGGATTAACTGTGTTTACAATAAAGAGTTTTACTCATCAGCGTGTGTCTGTGTAAAACAAAAAATAAGAATTTTCAAAGTTTCAACAGTTTGGGGGGGATGCAATCGTTCTACATGTGTTACCATCACTCACCCATATATCAGTATACAAATAAAAATGTAAGATATTTTAGAGCAAGGAAAGAATACCAGATGATAATAATAATCATCACCACCATCATCACAATCGTCCCATCTAACCATGCAACTACCTTTTCCTGTTAAATGCTATTTATCATATTTAAAAAGAAATTGTTTGCCCATCAATAACTTTCATAGCTTCTTAGTTTTGCATTCATCAGAAAGCTTGATTAAAGATGCAAAAATTGTATATATCAGTGCAAAAATTGTATATATCAGTGGATCATTGCGTGCTGCACAGAGTTCACGAAAGCGGTCATTTCACTCTTCGGAACAATTATATACTATGTACAGCATTGTGAGTATTAAACAAACGCACCTTAACATGACAAATGCGTAAATGCGGGTCAGACTCGGGGCATTCTTCTCGAAAAATTGACGAAACCCAAACTCCAGCTATCTGCTACCAGCTGTCAGTCAATTTATTGTGGGGTTGGTTTCTTCTCTAATTTTATATGGGATGCTTTCTAATTTAGTCCGGAGTAAGAATGAATCAGCTTAGTAACGTGACTTGATCTGCTTATCTTGTCCGAATAACAGCAGGTCTGTTGCGCAAATTGTTAGAAACAGTTTGCGCTAATTAATAAGCATAAATCCAGTGCGAAAAAAACTTCATACTTTGCATTTAAATTCAGTTATATTTTCAGTATGAACATAATTAGATATATAATCAAATGAAAAAAAGTTTTATAAGAGGAACGTTGGTTATGAAGAAACTGGAATGCTATTGAGTAAATGTGGTTTCATGGTTTATTATTTTGAGCAAGAAAGCCCTGCGAAAAAGTTTGAAGCTAGATACGATATTTGGACTACAAGGACAAATTATGCTGTTGAGATCCAGAAGGTGTAAAATTGATTTAAAGGTTAGACATTTCTAAACGTTGTATGATCTTAACAAATATTATTAGGAAGGAAATAAAAGAAGATAAATAAATGTGCGTTGAAGAAGTGATGTCCTAATCCTTGTTTACAAATTTTCCCTTTTTATGATATCAGCGATGATGAAAGCAAATTGAAAGAATAACTGAAAAAAATGAATAAGCTTTGGCGATAGATGTAAATCATGATATCAGCGATGATGAAAGCAAATTGAAAGAATAGCTGAAAAAAATGAATAAGCTTTGGCGATAGATATAAATCACTTTTCAATTCTTGCTTTTAAAAAATTGAATTTATTTCTTGCGAATATATTAGATGATGCTTACTTACCTTAGTTGAAAAAAAATGGATAACTGCCAATTATTATTATATTTATTATTATTTATTATTATTATTATTATTATTATTATTATTATTATTATTATTATTATTATTATTATTATTATTATTATTATTATTATTATTATTATTTTCTAGTTCATTTTGTTTTAGTCCTGTTTTAACCAGTCTGTTGTACCTGAGATCAGACCTTTCCTTGGCCTTGTATCTCAAGGACATTCCGTAATATTGCCACTGTCGGTATGATTTCTGAACTAGGCCGTCTCTTAGTTTGTGCGGTATTACTTGCAATGCTCTCTCTCTCTCTCTCTCTCTCTCTCTCTCTCTCTCTCTCTCTCTCTCTCTCTCTCTCTCTGCGTTTTTTTTTCTTATTATATTCTCTAGTCAGACCATAGTTTTAGTCAAATTCCCAAAATTTCTTTACTTTAATTACATTGGTATTTAACAAAAAGGGATTAAATAATCGTCACACTTTTTTACCTTAAGGTACTTCTGATGTATAACAATTTTTCAACTCATTTATCAAAATATTTTTACGCACATCTATTTTTCTAAGAAAATATTGGTATTGTCTGAAGTATCATAAACAAGATAAAATAAAATCTAAATTTGAGCAAAATGTTTTAGAAATTTAGTTATATGCTTTATTACGCTCTTGTTCATTCCGTGTGGCTTAAGATGTGCACTCTGCCTTTGGCAGTACAAGTTGCGGTTTTCTGTTTCTTGCTTTTTTTTCGGTATAAGAAAGTACTTCTTTACATTTTTTTTGCATATGGCGGTAGTTTTGCCTTTTGGTACAAAACAACGTGTTTGAAATGAAATTTGACGCCTTAGAAAGTTTTAACGCCTGGCAAGTTGAACGTGTTCATCTGTGACATACGGTCTTTAACATGACTCATTTGTACTGTACTTGTACTGGACAAGCGTATGCACTCGTGTTACGTATTTATTAGTTTAAAGTAACATAAAGAAAAGAGTGATTACAACAAACATTGTACATTTAAAAAAATAATTTATTTTCCTAAAAAAAAAACACGGTGAAAATGTAAAACTGTGAAACAAATCTTACGAGGTATGAAGAAGATCCAAAAATTTGTCATAAAATTTTAAAAACACATAAATCCTGTAACTAAACAGTTCTAAATTAACGTAGTCTGAATCTCGATTCCATTCCAAGGTGGCGGATGATGACGTTAGACGAAGGTTACACAAATGTCCAGAATTTTCACTTTGATTCACAATTTGTATTCTTCTGTTCCAATTTAGAAATAATTTCAGCAACTGTTTTTGTTCAAAGCTACTTGTGTAGTTCTCCAGGGAAAATAATTATTCTTTAAAAGGTAGATGAAGTATAGCTATCATCAATAAAAAAATACAAGTTATTCTTCATACGTGCGAATGAACAATTATTTCCAGCACAGGAAGATGTTATGATGTGACTGAGATATTAAAATATGACTTTCGACTATGACGGACTATTTCACAGGTAACTAAATATTTAAAGTAAACCAATACGTCACCCCATTTACAAGAATGAAGAAATCTAGCTACATCGCAGTATATAATGTCAACAAGTATTATTAGTAATGACCGTGGTAACAGCCAATCATTTGCATAGCAATTTTCGACTGTTTGCTTAATATGACAAAACCGTGATGCAAAAATCGTAAGTATATTTAATGATATAAAATGAAATAAAATTAAAATAGAAATAAAATAGAATTCAAATTTTAACACGTAATTTAAGTACAGGGTCGTAATAGCTGGAAGTCTAATTGCCGGTTCTAATCTTGTGAACAATTGTGACACTCTTAGTTGTCTTGATGTTAAATACTTGTGTTTACCTTGTAGAAAATGAATGCCAGGTCCTACTGGTTCATTCTTTTTTTACCTCGCCTAGTTGGACCAATCCCAGAGCCCTCATTGAATTTTTGCGACTCTGTTAAATACAAACTGTCCGCGCATAAGTTTTGATCTTCATCTTCTTTTTCTTTGCATATTTTGCGGTGTAAGGGGTCTTATGGAGGGGTAGTACCTCTGGTGGGAGTAGCAGTCGTACTCCTTTGGGGTAGCTAGTCCATCTTTGGTTCCCACTTGGTTCTCAGCTCTCACCTGTGGCTCCAAGAAGCTTCAACCATGTTGAGGGTAGCCGACTTGTCTCAAGCCCTCTGTAAGGTATGGCTTGTTACCCATTGCAGGTGAAAACTGGACCCGTCGGACTACGCGGAGGAACCACCAGCTGGTCAGCGAGCAGGAAGGCCGACCCAGCAAAGCGACGTGGAGCACTAAAAGCACGAAAGACACTTAGGACGCCTTAGTCATAAACTGTGTCCAGTATTTATTTCTTCCGTCTTGACTACGCCTTGCCACTGGACAATTTATGTCATCATCGGTGCGATGAGTGAGCTGAGATGCGGAGGGTGTGGATGCACTGGTAACCATCTCTACCAGTAAGACCGATGTTCTACATCAACCAGCTCCTGGAACCATCCATCACTGTAAATGGCCAAAAGCTAAAAAATGTGGACAGATTCGCATACTTAGACAGTACCCTTTCACAAGCATTCCACTTAGATGATGAGGTCAATACCGGGATTGCCAACGCCAGCATTTGGCAGAATCCGTTCAAATGTCTAGTATATTAGAGGCATCAAGCTTGCCACCAAACTCAAAGTCTACGCAACGATTGTTCTTCCCACCCTTCTCTATGCTTGCGAGACCTGGACTTTGTATAGCCGCATGTTAAAAAAACTGAGCTCCCTAATAAAACTGCTGAAGATCAGATGGCAGGACAAGGTACAGAACACAGACGATCTCACTCAGGCCGCCATGTTGTGCAAGGCACAACTACAATCGACTGACCAAATTGTCCGCATGCCGGAAGAACGCATACCCAAGAAGATGTTGTATGGAGAGCTACTGTAAGGCAAGAGATCTCATGGTGTTCGAAGGAAGAGGTACAAAGATACCCTCAAGGTCTCGCTCAAGGACTTTGTCATTGACTCTAACAGCTGGGAAAGTGTCTCTGCTGTTCGATCTGCT